TGGTGCACATGTTGATGAGTTTGTAAGGGAGGACAATACAACGTTAGACAATACTACTGAACATGTTGCAGTGGAAGATGTTGTACCCCCACCTATCCTTGTTCAAAGATGTGTGAATCAGCAAGATATTATGTGGTGCATTATTAGTGTTATGATGTTTTTTTTGGGTATAATCATATGTTGTGTTTTTTTTTTTGGTAGATTTGGATGAATGCCCGGATTATTTTAAAAGCATTTTGTAGTATGTATGGGGAATTGATCCAATATAGGTTGGCTATCTACAAAATTATGAAAACTGTGATGTAAGTTGTTTAGTAAGGGCAAGGAAATTTTGGAATTGTTGATTATGCACCTAGGTAAAAAGTATTCACTTGTTTGTGCTATATTAAAATTGTAAGCATTTTGTCTAATTATAGCAATCTCATGGATGCATCTAATGTGAAGTTGCAAATGTGTTACGTAGGGATGAAGATTCCAAATATGACTGTAGATGAAACTGATGTGATGATTGATATGTTAATTGACTACAAACAACGGAACCTGTTACCTCCTCACGGAAGATTGGACAAGAAAAAGATGGATCAATTGTTAGAGGTCCTAAACAGGTGTCTGCCAGGCTTTAGTCTGTCATTGAGCGAGGTATTATGGATGATCTTTTTTTGGGAGCGAATCTACTTCACAATTGTAGATATGTTGGATACGGGTAAATTTGCTTGGTACAATAACAATAACTGTGTTATCAAAGGAGATGAGGAGGGATCGAATGAATACTTAGACTTAACTGTCCATCATTATTATCAGTGTGAATTACATCCCTGTTTTGTTGGGAACACAACATTTTTAAACTATATGTTGTTTACATCATGCAGGACGTACCATTTGCTGTGGAATACTGTTTAGACCCATGTCCTAACTACCACTATTTTGAAATCATTTTCAAAAATGATGTTCCACCATTGGGCGAACAAACTTCAGATAGTGTAGGATCCTTACCATCGGTGAATTCTGCCCCAACTATCGATGTTGTAGTCATTGACGATTGACTTCTTCAAATAAGGCAAAGTGTATGCCTTGTTTTGTAGCTAATGGTATCAAATTGTCAATTTGTGCGTTTTGTTATACATGACTTTAAAATTGACACCTTTTGTAAGACAATTGTCGATTTTAAGATTCTATCTAACAACCTAGTATTGTGAACTACTACATGTTATAATTTAAATATGTTACCCATATTGTCATTTGGTTGTGCGGGAAGGTCTTCAAATAAGGCAAAATGTATGCCTTATTTTGTTGCTGAGGGTATCAAATTGTCAATTTGTGTGTTGTCTTATGCACGCCCTTAAAATTGAGACCTTTTGTAAGACATTGTCGTTTTTTATGTACATGCATTATATTTTTAGATTTCAATTATGTGTGTGTTGGAAATTATTTACATTTTTTATTTCATCATGCATATGAATGGATATGGACCGGGAATGCCACAGTGACTGGAGATGTTGATGCTACCCAAACCTCATGCAGCCCTGATTAGGATTGGATGTTGTATTATAACAAAATTATAGATTATAAAAATGAAATACATTGAATAACCGGATTATACTTTTTACAATTATATAGAATAGTTGTCATTCAATTTCTTCTTCTTCTTCTTCTTTATTTTTGCAAATGATCCTTTCTCATGTCCATGATCTGTGTTTGAAACTTCATCCCCACCCTTTGATGTAAGGTTTTTTTTGTGGACTTATTATGATTACATTATCGATATAATTTCTTATCAAAACATTACAACATTTTTAGGTTAAGTCATAGTTAAAAAAGGTATGATCGATCTTAAATTGTCATTGATTATAAAAAAATATAACTACATATTAAAATATAACTCGTCTTTCTAAATACAATTAAAAATATACTAAGGAAATGCCAGTTTGGGGGGGGGGGGGGGGGGGTACTAATTCTAATAAAAATAGAAGTGACCATCCAATAATTAATTAAAATAAGCGTGAGACCAAAGTTGTGATCAGGCCTCAAATTATTGAATTGATTCTCTATACATAAAATAGTATTCGAAATTAATTTAGGGAAAATATGGTAAATGAAGAAACCCCACGAGGAGCACTGTCTGGAATCGAAGAGTCCAGTTCCAAAATAGGTAATGGAAAAATTAGAATAATTACACTTTCAGCCCCTGAACTATATTCCTCTCACTTTTTTCCTTCGCATGCCATATTTTCACTATGTACTTTTTTCTTATTTAACAGTCAGGGATGTTCAGGTTAATTTAAACAATTAAGTTTTATTTTTAAGCACACAACTTCAAATTTTCTAGAAATAAACAAATAACGACTTAGGCTTGAGTTGTATCGTTATGTGTATTGTTTTTGTGTTGATTTTTTTTTTTTTCATGATGCATATGATTTTTGTGATTAAAAGTATATTGTAAAAATTAAATTAAATAACTGAACAAAATATTTATTGCAATATTTTGTAACAATTTGTAATTTATTGATTCATATTTTTTGTCATAAAAAAGACAATACTAATGGATTGGACTTTTTTTTTCATTCAATTTCAAATATGGTATAAGATTGGATTACATTGTTTTACACAATGGTATAATTATCATTTCAGTATATTTTATCTTTATATGTTAATGGGGCCTACAAACCAAATGAAACCTATTCAAAGATGGGATATGATTTGAATCTCATTTTTATAATTCTCCAATCTAGACTTTTTGCATTAGGTTGGATTGACTTCGAATTCAATTCTAATCCAATCTAATCCTCCCATGGTGATCCAAACACCATCCAAATATATAAATCCGGTCCCAACAAATGGTTGGACCACATTGGTCCAGTCATATAATATAATGGTCTAACGTGGATTCCATGCAAACAGCTTGAACCTAACAAACTTGATGTAGTCTTGTCTACCAGGTCCATTGTAGATGACAAGTGATTGCTGACCAAGTCCATGCAAGTAGGTGAAAGCCCTTGCCCTTAGCCTTCTGGTTATAAAAGTCCACATATAAGTGACCAACGACCTACCCATGAGTTGGTGATTGCACCCCACTCCTGACGAGCCATGGTCAGACCCGGTTTAACAAGAATTTTTTTATCCTCCTTTATTCATTTTGAACTTTGTTTGCACTGTAGCGGTTTGAACTTATTGTTTATATGTAAAACTAGGGTTTATATTCATGTTTTTAAATAGAAAAATATGTTTTTTGAAAAAGTGAGTTTTATGGACCTATTTTACATGAAAAAAGGAATTTGTTTTTTTTTTAAATAATATAATAATTTATTCAATTTTAACAATTGGGTACTATTTGGCGGATAATGCTATGATATATCCATTTTTTTTTAATTCTATATTGAAATTGATTAGATGCAATAAATCTCGTTTTGATACATTTGTAGTCATTAATTTTAAAAATAATAAAATGATAAATTAAAATTTATTATATTTTTATTGGACAAATAATAAAGATAAGATAATAAAAAAGTATAGAAACATTATTGGAGTCCATAAATATTGAGTGTAACGATAATATTGTCACATTATTAAAACATCACATCATTAATAAATAATAACATAATACTTAAGTAAAACAATTACACATGAAGGCTCAACCAGTCGTTTCATTCACCAACCACGAAGGCGACTGATGACGCATTGACTATGCCTATCCGGTGCACTAGTCTAATGCCGAACTCCCCCGGAAGTTGCTATTAACTCATATCACGTATATTAAATTGATGACAGCTCTTAAGTAATATTAAAATTATCATAAATTTATTAATTATAATTATATTTATAAATTTAATAAAAAGGAATTTATTAATGTATATAAGTGACTTCATTGCCAATATATGATATGTAATCTACCATTGAGAAAAAAAATAAAAAAAATAAATCCATTAAACTAATTTTTTTTTTTTAAAAAAAAAAAACCTCTAATGAATACCATCACTTTTTGGTGGATCCCATTAAACTAATTTTGTTTCTCAAAAGGATAAGAGTTGGTGAGATTGAAGAGCTACTATACACGAGTCTGGGGTTGGGGGTTTCATGTCACTGTCTCACCAACTTCTTGTTCATCACTATCTATCTTCTTTTTTCTCTCTCTACATTTATTTGGCCGTTTTATTCCGATTCTCTTCATGTTCCCATTTCTATATACCTTGGGTAAGATTATGATATGAAATGAGAATTTGTATTAAAAATTATAAATAAATAGATATTAAATATAATTTATTTGGGTCAAGTTAGGAGAAAAAAAAAATAAATTGATGTTAAATAATTTAGATCAATAATATAAATATTAAATTTCTAAGTCTGTATTTTTGTAATTTCACCTTCATTTTATAGTAACATACGTTATGGTATCGAGCCCACTGGACAGCGTAAAACGGTGTATATAGCCAAATAAAAATTATATATTTTTTTCAAAAAAATTATCATTAATCACTATATCAGATTTTTTTTTAATAACAGTTTTTTATTGATTATATACACCATACAAAAATTCCACCGCTGAACGGTTCCAACCAATTAGTGCCTGGATGGCGTGTCCTCGTCTAGTTAGAAGTCGGAATCATTAGGCGCGGTAGGTGAAGGGCCGAAAGAAAATAATAATAAACGGTAATAAAAAAAAACACCTAGTGCTATGACTTTTATTTAAAGCCTCAACCCACTTACAACCAAATCAATACCCATACACTTCACCCACCCAACAATCCTCTCTATTCCTCTCACTTGATTTCCTCTAACATCTCCCAACACAACTTCCTCCACTTTTTACAGGTATTATTTCTTCATTCTCTCTTTTCAATGTCTCTTTTGATTCAATTATCATATTTTTAGGATACGTCTTTAACCCGATAAGGTTGTTTTATTTTGAAATGAGTGTTAGTATTTTTTTATACAATGAGAATAAAATTACGCACAATTATTCTAAAATTTTACAATGATAATAATCTCGTGTATGTTATTATTAGATGGACGTTAACTCTTTTTCAATGAGCATAAAATTACGTATGGTATAAAGTTGCACACATAATGCTTAATTTTCGCAAGGGTAAAAGTCTCGTGTGTTGTACTATTTCTTTTTTAAATTTAAATATAAATGTAACGTTATGTACTTTTCATAATTTGTAATTTTTTTTTTTTTGTCATCTCTCAAAACAAGTTGCAACTTGCTCATATTTGCAGTTCAACGGCTAGAGCATCTCACGCGGGAATCGTTGTAACCGGTGAAGGTTAACCAACGACAAGCGGACGTTAGCGAATCGGTGGTGAAGAAAATGAGGATCAACGTGAAAGACTCGACGATGGTGAGGCCGGCGCAGGCGACGCCACTGCGGAGCCTCTGGAACTCTAACGTGGACCTGGTGGTGCCGAACTTTCACACTCCTAGCGTCTACTTTTACCGTCCGGCCGGTTCTTTGAACTTCTTTGACGCCGGAGTGATGAAGGATGCGTTGAGTCGAGCACTCGTGCCGTTCTACCCCATGGCCGGCCGGTTGAAGAGGGACGACGATGGTCGAATCGAGATCGATTGTAATGGTGAGGGCGTTCTCTTTGTGGAGGCCGAATCTGATGGCGTGGTCGATGATTTTGGGGACTTTGCGCCCACTTTGGAGCTCCGGAAGCTCATTCCGGCGGTGGATTATTCTCAGGGAATATCATCGTATTCTCTTCTGGTCTTGCAGGTACGTTCTTCTTGTTTCATACGAATCCAATATAATTATAATTATATTGAAATTTAAAAATATCTAAACTAATCAAAAAATAGTGTTTTGTATCATAAATTTGTAATCCAAATTAAAGAGGACCATAAGATTAGTGGGTCCTGTCAACTTATTTAAATGAGACTCACTGATCTAATGGTCCTCTTTGATTTGAGATACAAATTTGGAATAAATATCATTACTCTTAATGAAATTAGAGATCAAATTAATAGTTTAAATTCAAATATTGTTGGATTGAAATTTTATATATCATCTGGACTATAATTTTAATTTCAAGTTTGATTAGATTATAATTTTAATTTCAAGTTTGATTAGATTAAAGTTTACGTGAAAATCTTGATTGTCTATGAGCTCACAAATTAGGAAAAATTACACTCAACCCTATCCAAATGTGAGTAGGAATGTAGGATATAGGTTGTTAGGCAAAGTGGCATCAATTTGGACAATTGTGTTGTCAAAAAAATAAATAACAGAGGCACAAAGTCCAAGATGCAATAGTCTTTGGGGTACTAAGTTTACTTTTCCTTCCACTATATATGAGAGTTGATGCAACTAATTTGACCAAATCAATTTCAACACTATTGGTGAGTGTTGAATATTCAAATCAATTTCAACACAACCCGAGTTCAATCTAAAAATATATTGAATGGCATGGATGAGTAGTAAATTCCATTCCGGCAAAATATAGGACAGGGTGGACACATCGGATTAACAGGTATATAATTGTCGGGATGCCTCAAAACATTAGGAACATGAAAAAACCAAATGAAAGAAAAGACCACAAAACTATCCAATTTACTAGATCCTTCACATAAAAATAAAGATAAAAAACAATTTTATTCATCTCTAATATTTAACTTTGATTGAGGAAATAACTCAGTCGGATGCAAGTTTAGATAGTATTTTGATTAGAATCTTACATTTTCAAAATTTAACTTAAACTCGTTTCAAATTCTCTAATTCAGTTGCCCAAACTTAAAAGCTCAAAATTGTGTAAGCTGGGTTGAGCCCATGTTTAAAAATCTGAGAACAGCCCATGTTCATGGTAAACAGTTTAAGTTGCAAGTTGAGTTTAGCTTTATCTAAAGTTAAGAGTTCCACGACTTTGTTGACTTTAGATTCACCTTTTTTAAGCCACCCAACTTGTTCGACGTTGACCTCTTAAGTTGGCCCACAAGAGTAAGTTTCTTTTTTTTTTTTTTGGTTCAATCTCTAATTTATGGGAACTCGTAGAGTTGAGAATCAACAAATACATTTCGGGAAAATGGAAAAAGCAGGGTAGACTTTAGATTCCAATGGTCCAATATTAAAAAAAAGATTACCATTTTTCGGAGGGTTTAAACAAATTAGATGGTGAATAATTGATAATCTACCTTGATATAAATGCCGGGTAAGATTACGGTACTGAATTTTTTTTTCCCGACGTGTATTAGATAATAAATTTAGGGTTTAGTCTAGTGAGATTACATTAAAATAGTTGTTTTTAAAATTGTTTCTAATATTTTAAGACTTAAATTGATTCTATCTTTCCATGGTTACTTTACCTACATTAATTATATTTTATTAAAAAATATTATTTATTTAAAGGGTTAATTATTATTTACAGCCTTCAACTATTCCTCTTGTTGTAATAAGCTTTCTGTGGTAATTATTTTTATAATTTTTCTTCTCAGAATTTTTTTTTATCATTTTTATAGGTGGTTTATCATTTTTGTGGGTCTTTTTACAATTTTTGTATGTGTTTTTATTAGTTTTGTGATAATTATTTTTATTACTTTTTTAGGTACCGCAAAAACGATAAAAATATCTATAAATATAAGAAATTTTGGTGTAATACCAAAATTTTATTTTTTAGCACCATAGTCAAGTCTTAGGATTAGGGTCCCGTGTTGAAACCCTATCTGGTCCCCGGGTTGACAGCTTTTTTGTGAATCAATGAAATCCTCCCTTCTAATAACTGTAGGTTTGGGACCCGTGCCCTAAATGAGTAGGATTAGGCCTCTCTCAAAGTGATTATCCACTTGCATGTGTGCATTATTTTGTATAAAAAGTTTGATATAACAAATTATTAATAGTTTAATATCTACCTCAAGTTCCAAAATCAAAGTTTGATTATGACTCGTTTAAAAACTATTACCATCCAACCAATAAAAGTATCACCTTAAAGACAATCTATGGGTCATTTTACACTGACAAAGGCTCGACGTCCTCGCCAATGAGTGTTGGGCAGCCGGGTTAGTTCTATCTGTACTAACCCCACCAATGTTGACGCTTGCTTACATAAAAATAATTTACTCAAGAGCAATGAATACCATGGATTGTGCTTTTTGGGTTACACTATAATTTAGCACTAGAATTGAGAAAAGTGTATCAGCAGCGTTTGCTAGATGTGACAAAGGACATATACTCTGTAGTCTGTACCATGGCGATGAAGTTGTTTACTGACTTTCTGGCCATTGCTGGGAATAATATAAATGAACCACAAGAATGTGGGGTACTATAATGTAATTAACAGCTCCAGTATTTTTTCCAAAAAGGAAGTTAGTTCCTATATTATTGGTGGAGGGTTATGGACGGCTATTTAATTCTAGGTTGGCCAGGTATTGGAGTGTGACAGGTCGTGTTAGAATTATAGTTTATTTATTTCGGTGCTCTTCCATAAATGATATGGAGTTGTGTTATGTTGGCTTCATATCCTGTCTTAATTGTATCATACTAAAATTTGTTCAACTCACACACATCACATTTATATTCTCACGGCCGGCCCTATAGGTTAAAAATAAAAGCGGGGACTTTAAGCTCCACTTATGAAAAAAGTCTCAAATTTAAAGATTAATAATATAATATAAGTTAAAAAATAAAATTTACTACAATATTACCTAAAAAATTAATTTTTGAAAGAGTAAACTAACAAAAAAATTAAAAATTTGGGCCTAAAAGTTCAATCTCATCATATAATCACATTTATTAAAGGATAAAAAAGATTAATAAAAAAAATACTGACAAAATCTATCTCTTTCTTCAATCGAAAAAAGTGTAATAAACGTATTTCTTTAGTCAAAAAAAAAAAATCAAACCAAACACATTATTTACTTTTCTTAAGCTTGGTTTTTTTTTTCTTCTCATTTGAACGTAAAATACCAATTAAACCATTCATTCTCATTAAAAAAAATATTTTGATAAAGTTTTTATTCGTAACAAATATAATATAACAAAAATTTAAGTGAAAGTTACATGGATAAATAAATAAAATTCAAAGATAGTAAAATAATTCAAAAGAAAGATAACAATGAATTTATTTATAATAAAGTCAATCATTTAATTCCACAGTTTTGATAAAAAACATATAAAACAAATAAAAACAACATAAAAATATTAATGAAGAAATTAATTTTATTCCTATAAATATTTAAGATCAAATGTCATATTATTAATTAAAAAAATATATTAGCAAAATTTAAATAAAAAATTAGTAATTTCAAATCTCATCAAAAAGTAAAAATAATAGATTTTAAGTTAAAAAAATTAAATTATTATTAAAAAAATATAAAAATTTTATTGACCGTCATTGCTTTAAGCCTCGAATGTTATTGAGCCACGCCTGAATATTCTCATCGTGTATTAAATTTGTGTTGTATATTGCCGGGTTTGTATTGATCAATTTAACATACAGATGTAATAAATCAATTTGATTATAACTTGATCCGTGAAAACTAAACCCATTTCTTGTAATTTCGTGTCGGTTTACAGATCCTGAATAACTGTTTGTCCTACGTGTTTGCCTTCAAGCTGTTCGGTTACAGATTCTAACCTAACACATTTATCATCATTAAAATTTTTCTGCCACGCGTTCTGGTCGCTATATCAAGCATATGGTCCTGCAAGAGGTTGGGGATCAGGTCTATGCTGTAATAAGATCCTGATTTTATGGCTTTATATAGCTGCAGAAAAGCAAAATCTGAAACAGGAAAAATAATATAAATCTTATTTTAGTAATAAGCATATGCAGATCATCAAACACAAGTCAACAGGGAAGGTTTTGTAGATCATTAGAAGTCGAGTTAAATGTGTTAAACAGAAGATGGTAGTTGAAGTAACAAATTTGGTTTATTGACTTAGTTGTGCCATTCGTTGATGAGTTGCCTAGTATTTAGGGATGACAATGGACTAGGGTGGGGGTGAGGGAGATAGTTTCTATCCTATACCTGTTTTAAAAATATTCGTTTATTCCCAGTCTACTCTCGTTAGTGGAGAAAATTTAATCGCCGTTCCTGTTTCGTGGGTAAATTTTGATTTTTGTTCTCATTCACGCCCATAACAAGTTTCAATGATTTTAAATAAAAAAATTAAAAAAAAACTATAACACCTCACAAATAGATTTGCAAGAAGGATTCAAACTCATTGTATAACAAATGGATGAGACATAAAAACTTAAAAAAATAATATATATAATAAATATGTGTTTTACTTAATTATTTTATTTGTCATATATATTACGGATTTAGCGGGGCGGGAAAGGAAGGGGCAGGGGATGAGTTTCAATCCATATTGGTACGAGTTTATACGGTATTTCTGTATAAATCCATTTTTTCCATTTTTCTCTGATCTACTGTTATCTCCACTAGTATCAGAGTTTAGGACAACTACGACGCTTACGTCATTGCGGTTCTAGAGAGGGTTAAATGTATATAATTTGTGATTCTAGAGGGTTGAATGTACATAATCTTAAATTCACTTGCGGACAGGCTGTTTTCATGATTTAAACCCCGACACTCCCATCACAACAGAGCATGTCAGAGTCTAGGTTGGGCAGAATTTTTAAGTTGTCTTTCAGTGCTTGACTTGAGAATGCATTTGATGAGTTAATTTGGGTTGTGTTTATTATGAACTAGACTTAAAAATTAGACTTGATAATCTCAATCATTGAGTAGATAGTGGGTCCCAATAAATACTGAGACTCACAATTAAATCAATGGTTGAGATTATCAAGTTTAGTTTTTAAATCTACTTTTTAAGTTTATATAGCATTACTCGTTTATTATTAGCTGAAAGCAAAATTTTTTTAACCCTCAGTTGGAATCCTACACTTTTCCTATTATGTTTGATTAGAAATGCTTGAACTAAAGAGTTAATTCAAATCTTGAATTCACTTTATACCACGAGTGCTTCCAATGATTTTGGTTTCAACCCTTGAGCAGGTGACATATTTCAAATGTGGTGGAGTCTCACTGGGGGTAGGTATGCAACATCATGCAGCAGACGGAGCTTCTGGTCTCCATTTCATCAACACATGGTCTGATATGGCTTGTGGTCTTGACCTCACTATCCCACCTTTCATCGATCGGACTCTTCTTCGTGCCCGTGACCCACCCCTGCCTCAGTTCCAACACATCGAATACTTGCCCCCTCCGGCCATGAAAACCGCAAAATCCGAATTAGTTCCTGATACTGTTGTCTCCATTTTCAAGTTAACCCGAGATCAACTTAATGCCCTCAAAGCCAAGTCCAAGGAAGATGGAAACACCATTAGCTACAGCTCCTATGAAATGTTATCAGGGCACGTATGGCGCTGCACGTGCAAGGCACGTGGACTTCCTAATGATCAGGAGACAAAGTTATACATTGCAACCGATGGAAGGTCCAGGCTTAGGCCATCACTCCCACCTGGCTACTTTGGCAATGTGATTTTCACTACCACGCCTTTGGCAATAGCCGGTGACCTCCAATCAAAGCCAACTTGGTACGCTGCAAGTAGAATTCACGATGCGTTAGGTAGAATGGACAACGATTACTTAAGGTCAGCTCTCGATTACTTGGAATTGCAACCTGATTTGAAGGCGCTTGTTCGTGGCGCGCATACATTCAGGTGCCCAAATCTGGGGATAACAAGCTGGGCTAGGCTGCCAATTCACGACGCAGACTTTGGTTGGGGGAGGCCTATATTCATGGGACCTGGTGGAATTGCTTATGAAGGGTTGAGTTTTGTATTGCCAAGTCCAACTAATGATGGCAGCTTATCAATTGCTATTTCACTGCAATTGGAGCACATGAAACTCTTTGAGAAGTTCTTGTATGACATTTAAGGAAACACACCGTCGGACCAACTCATGTTAATCAATCCGAGCCGGCTGATTTGGGACATGCCGGAGTATTTTTTTTTCCTTTGGTGGTTGTGTTTCTTCCCTACCTGTTTTCATACACCTTGTTTATGTCTGTTATTAAGCTACACTTTTGTTTATGTCAAACTGTGGGTTGATGTCTAGAGTACAATTGACAAATGCTATTGATTACATTGTATTATTAATCTAAGACTCAATTTCATATAAGAGTAATGTTGTTAAATGTTGTAAAATTGAGTTGATGATGCTAGTAGTCGATGTATAGAGTTAAATAGATACCTCTATGGCTCAATGCCTTGTACCTATGTGTCACACCCTAACTGACTTGGGTGCATAATGAAGGTCTTGGTGGCACCTTATGGTACCTTGCACCAATGCACGCCATGAAATTGAATCAAGGTGATGCGGATAAGTAGTTCGACAGATTGATGCAGACTGTGGTAGCATGAGACCACCTGGTTGAGCATGACAGCATGCGGTGGCTCAATCGAGGCAATGTGGGTGCATAGCTTCGAATTGCATGGCATGGGCTGAACCCAACATGCACAATGGTTGGTGATGCAAGGCTGACTACTGAATGTGGGCACATGATTGCTCAATGTATGTGACCAGGAGGATGTGGACTGTTACAGACAGTTGCTGAACCAGGCTTAGTTTGTGGGAAACAGTTCTGGGCATTCTTAGTTTGATTCTGGTCCAGATGCATTCTAATGAGGGACAGTTCCACATCAATTACTAAGTAGGTGGAATTGCCTGCCAGGTGTTGCACAAAGATCAAGCCTATTGGCCAAGTTTGCTATGGAATAGTAGAATGTGGGAAACTACCCTTTGACAGATGGGGGTGTCATTTGTCATACTCTTTGTATAAATAGGAGTGCTTGGGCATTCTGATAGTCAGAGAGAGTTTTCTGGCATTGAGAGTTCCTTGTAAATTTTTGAGTTCAATATATAAGGTTTGAGAGTGCTGTCCTAGTAAATTTGTGTGTGTTTTCTGTGTAAGTTTCTGTCCTTTGTTCTTGAGATTGTGTGGCTGGTTACAGTAGCAACGCCTTCACAGGTAGCCTCGAAATAAAAAATGAGTTGTTACCCCGTGACAGTTTGGTATCAGAGTGTTGATTTTGACAAAAAGATCAACTATGACTGGCAGAATGAATGCAGATTTGAGGGAAAGGGTGGCACGTTTGGAGAATTTGGTTGGTCCTCCACAGTTTGATGAGCCTGTGACCCTTTATGTGCAACTTGAGTTGCTGTATCAACGGTTTGAGGAGATGCATGTTGCACAAGAACAATTTCAAAAGACTGAATCTGATCACTTCAGTCGAGTGAAAAATGAAGTCATTGACGTGCTGGCTACGATTTTGACATAGACCATATGGGGAAAAATTGAGTTCCCTAGAGACGGACGTTTCAATGCTAAAGAAGGCACTACAGAATGCTTCTTTGGTTTCTGGCAGTGAAAGCACTCAGAAAGCTAAGGTGTCTGACCCTAAGCCTTTCACAGACAGTCGTAACGCTAAAGAACTTAAGAACTTTCTATAGGATATGAGGCACTACTTTAAAGCAGTTCGTACACCAGATGCTGAAAAGGTAGATCTTACTAGCATGTACTTGTCTGGTGATACTAAATTATAGTGGCGAACACGATTTGAGTACAAGTCTCGTCCTCCAATTACGACTTGGGAGTCTCTATCCACTGAAATGAAGGAGCAATTCCTTCCGAGCAACACGGCTTCGCAAGCTCGTGATGCATTGAGGAAACTTCGACATACAAGTACCGTGAGGGAGTACGTGAAGCAATTCTCGTCACTGATGCTGGATATCAAAAATATGTCGGAGGAAGATAAGTTGTTCAATTTTATGTCTGGCCTTCAAACTTGGGCCTAGGTTGAACTTCGTCGGCAAGGGGTGAAGGACTTACCCACTGCTATGTTCGCAGCAGATGCATTGGTTGACTACAAGACGCAGACAAATCCTCTACAGAAGGAATCAAAAGGGAAAATTAAGTTCCCTAAGAAGGACAAGTAGAAGAAAAAGGCTGAGAAGTATGGCAACGCAGAAAAACAGATTGACAAGCCCTCTTCATCAATGGGAGGTGTTAACTTAGGCTGTTTTATCTGTAATGGCCCTCATCGTGCCAGAAATTGCCCAAAAAGGAAAAGCTCAGTGCCCTCATGGCTAAGGAAATTGACTGTTCTGACGAACCAACACGAATTAATCCATTTACAACTCCTTAATGCAATTCACAAAGAGGAGACGGTGGCAAAAAGGGGTTAATGTTTGTACAGATTCGCCTGAACAATGTGACCGTCCAGGCAATGGTTGATACAAGTACAACCCATAATTTTGTTTCTGACCGCGAGGTACAGCGGCTTGGTCTGGCTTTGGTGAAAGACTCTAGCCAGATTAAGGCCTTTAATTTAGAGGCACAACCAGTAGGTGGTGTTGATAGAGAAGTCCCTTTAAAAGTTGGTGATTGGCAAGGGCCATGCGATTTTATGGCAGTCCCTCTTGATGATTTTCAGGTAATCCTTGGACTGAAATTTCTTATGAAGGCAAAGGTGTCTGTTATGCCTCATTTGCATGGAATGTTCGTGATGAACATGTCCAGTCCCTGTTTTGTTCCCCTCACCAAGGCCAAGTCTTCGGGAAAAATGCTATCTACCTTGCAAGTAAAAGATGGCTTGCGGAAAGGAGAAGCAACATACTTGGCTGTTTTGTTTGAGGAAGAAGAGTCCAAAACAGTAAAAGTCCCTGAACCAGTGCAACAGTTGCTGGTTGAATTCAAGGATGTGGCACCCAAAGAATTGCCAGCAAGATTACCACCAAGGCGGGAGATTGGTCATGTCATCGAGTTGATTTCAGGGGCAAAAATCCTTGTGCAGGCTCCTTATCAAATGTCTCCATCAGAGTTGGTGGAGCTAAGGAGATAGCTTGAGGGTCTATTGAACATTAGGTTCATTAGACCTTCTAAGACACCCTATGGAGCCCCTATTCTGTTTCAGAAAAAAAGGATGGATCCTTACGACCTTGTGTAGATTACAAAGCTCTCAACAAAGTTACTGTCAAAAACAACTATCTAGTGTCACTTGTTGATGAATTGTTTGATAGACTGGGGAAGACAGTCTATTTCACCAAGATGGACTTGTGGCTGAGATATCATCAAGTCAGAATTGCAGCAGGAGATAAGGCCAAGATCACTTGTGTGACGAGGTACGGTTCATATGAGTTTTTAGTCATGTCTTTCAGCTAAACAAATACTCCTGTTACATTCTGTAACTTGATGACCAATGTATTTTGGGAATACTTGGACAACTTTATAGTTATTTATCTGGATGATATAGTTGTTTATAGCCAGACTCTTGAGGAGTATGTTGAGCACCTTAGGTTGACTTTGACAAAGTTGAGGAAAACACAATTGTATCTGAAATCAGAAAAATGTGAGTTTACCCAAAAGGAAATCTCATTCCTCGGGCATATTATTTCTGCGGGTCTGGTGAAGATGGATCCAAAGAAATTCGAGGCCATTGCTGATTGGCCTGTCCCTACTAAGGTTACTAAACTGCGTTCTTTCCTTGGTTTGACAAACTATTACCAAAAATTTGTGAAGAATTATTCAAAGAAGGTGGTTGTGTTGACAGATCTTCTGAGAAAGGATAGGACATAGAACTGGTCCTACGAATGTCAGGAGGCATTCGATCGATTAAATGCGATGGTGACGACTAGCCCAATTTTACAGTTGCTTGACTTTGATTTACCTTTTGAAGTCCATACAGATACATCAGATTTTGCTCTTGGAGGGGTGCTAGTGCAGAATGGACATCCGGTGATATTTGAAAGTAGAAAGCTAAATAATACCGAGAGACGGTATTCTGTGCATGAAAAGGAGATGACGACAGTCATTCACTGCATCAATGCTTGGATGCATTACCTGTTGGGAAAGCATTTCCTGGTGCTTATAGACAATGTGGCTACTAGTTGCTTCAATTCCATGAAGAAGCTGACACCAAAACAAGCAAGATGGTAGGATTTTCTTGCTCAGTTTCCATTTCGCGTTGCAGTACAAGCCTGACAGTGCAAATCAGGTTGTTGATGCCCTAAGTCGGATCCTAGTTGCTGATGGGGTGATGGTTGCACTTAGCCAGATTGCAGGAGATATGCTACAAAGAATTCAGGATCAAACAAAGGATGATCTCGTGACTAGCTTACTGCTGAAGTAGGTTCAAGAGGGGGTGACTCGGCGGTTTTAGGTAGAGGATGGTGTTCTCTATGCCAAAGGAAAGAGACCCTATGTTTCGAAGTCAGGTGGACTTCGACAGATGTTGCTGACAAAAAATCATGATGCTCTGTGGTCAGGACATCCAGAGCAGCAATTGACCCTTGCCTTGCTAGCAGAAAGTTATTATTGGCCCTGTATGGAAGCAGATGTTGAGCTGTATGTGCACACTTGTCTAGTGTATCAGCAAGACAAAACAAAAAAGAAGAAGGTGGTGGGTACGTTGGAACCCTTCCCTATTCCAAGCAGACCTTGGGAGAGTGTTTCCATGAACTTCATCCATGACTTGCCTAAGGTGAACGATTTTACTTTGATATTTGTGGTTGTTGACAGATTTTTGAAGTATGTCACTTTCGTTGCAGCTCCAAAAGTATGTTCTACTGAAGTTACTGCTCAACTATTCCTCAAGCATATTGTGAAGCTTTGGGGTCTTCCGTTGGATATAGTCAGCGACAGAGACACTCGGTTTACTGGCTGGTTCTGGACGACCTTATTTGAATTGTTGGACACACAGCTCAACCTTTCCACCAACAATCATTCGCAGACAAATGGTCAGACTGAGCAGGTAAATGCAATGCTGGAGGAATATCTTAGACACTATGTCATAGCAAACCAGGAAAATTGGGTGAATTTACTTGATGTTGCCTAATTTAGCTACAATTTGCAGCAAAGCTCTTCTATTGGGATGAGCCCATTCAAGTTGGCAACTGGCCAACAGCCTCTTACGCCATATGAAGTTGCTAAACAAAAATCTCAAGGAAGATGTCCTATAGCATACCCACTTTGCTCGGGCAAATCAGGAGAGGACCGACGAGGCAAAGGATTGCTTGACTAAGGCGGTAAAGAGGATGAACAAGTGGGTAGAGGGTAGTAGAGTTTGAAGTGGGTGACAAAGTGATGCTGAAATTGACCCCACCAATCTGAAAGAAGATCACTCGAAAGTTTGCACATAAGGGACATATCCAGCACTATGACAGTCCTTTCCTTATCACAAGAAAGATTGGCAGGTTGGCGTATAGGCTGGATCTTCTCAGTCGTCTCAAGCTTTATCAAGTTTTTCACGTTGCCTTCTTGAAGCCATATTTTAAGACCTAGAGGATCCTAGCAGATATGTTTGGCGTCGGGCTCCTCCAATAATTCATAGAGATAGCAGAAGCTATTCTTGACCACAAGACTGAGGGAATGAGTAACAAAAACAGAAGAACTTATTACCTAGTCAAGTGAAAAGGGAAAGCACCGGAGGAAGCCACTTGGGAGAAAGAGACTACATTGTGGCAGTTTGAGGATCTCATCAAGCAGTACCATGCCTCCATTCCAACGAGGTCGTTGGACACTTCAGGTGGGGGTGGCTTGTCACACCCTAATTGACTTGGGTGCATAATGGCGGTCTTAGTGGCACCTTGCACCAAGGCCTGCCATGAGATTGAATCAAGGTGATGCGGATAAGCAGTTCGACAGATTGGTGCGGACTATGACAACATGAGACCACCCGGCTGAGCATGGCAGCACGTGGTGGGCTCAATTGAGGCAATGTGGGTGTATAGCTTCGAATTGCATGGCATGGGCTAAACCCAACATGCACAATGGTTCGTGAGG